TTTTTTTTTTTTTTTTTTTTTGTATATATGTGTATTATATACAAAAAAAGATACATATTTTATACACTTTTCAGCTAGAATTCAATTAGTTTCAGCTGACCGTCCCTTTAAGTTATTGGTTTATTGAAATTTGTGCGTGTCTGTCTAGAGATTTTGCGTTTAGTGGGTATAAAAGAGTGGGTTTTCGTATGTATGTTTCTTACTTTGGCATTTTCTTAAATAGTTTCTTTGTTTCAAGTTTTCGTGCTTCTTAAGCAATCTCTTAAAGAATAGCGCAGACATAAAACACAGAGATGCAAAATAGCTGTTCGTAAATGCTTTCTTAATGATGGTAGTTTTGTGCCCAGAGATGGGAATCCTTTTTTCAATGTTTTGTTTATTTAAGTTTGTGAATTTTGTTACTGAGTCTGGCTAGAGATTTTCCATACATGGGTGTAAAACAGTAGGTTTTGTAATTCTTGGATGTGTGGATGTTTCATTGGCATTTCTTTTAATCAGTTCCTTTGTTTCAAGTTTTCATGTTTCTGGAGCAATCTTTTAAAACATAACACTCACATAAAATACCTGGATGCAATACATAGCTGTCCGAAATCCTTTCTTGGTGATGATAAAATTGTGAGAAATAGTGCAAGAATATGGGAACCTTAAAGTGAGTAGGTTGTTAAAGTTTGTGAATTGAGCGTGTCTGGCAGTAGATTTGCACTTAATGCATGTAAAAGAGGAGTTTTCATTTGGATGTTGCTTAGTATTTGGATATGTCGATGTTTCATTGGTATTTTCTTAATTAGTTTGCGTGTATCAAGTTTTCTTACTTCTCAAGCAATTTGTTGATAAACTGTATTTTCTCTTTGCTGTCTTGTCGTGCGCCTTTTTCATGATTACTGCTAGCTATCCATCTATCGGTTCGATTAATTTCTTATATATTTGATATTTTTGGTGTACACCCACTCTCCCCATGCCAAGCACTAGCTGAGAGCACTCTGTGCGTGGGTAAGTTGTTTGTACAGTTAGTATATTGATTTTTATGAATGTGGATTCATTTTGTTAGTTGCAACTTGCTTGTCCAAAAGATATAAAGTGGACTAAAAGTTGCAAGTATTCTGGACTGGTTATTAGGAATTGATCTAATCTTCCATTCAATTTCAAAATGCCTGGTCTGAAATTTTTTGGCATTTCCATTCTGAAATTTTTTGGCAGTTTTAAGTCGATACTCGCCTTAAAACTGACATCAGTACTAATCAATTATGTGGTTGGTTATGGCGAGTAACACTCTTAGGTGATTTGACTTGTATACGGAAAGACCTCCAAGTAAGAGCTTCTGCACGACTTTATTTTCCAAAGATGAAGTCAGAATGTATTCTCATATATTTCTTTTTAACTGCTAATGACTGCCGAAAAAAGTCAATATATAACTTGATTTTTTGGTGAATGGAATGTTAACTGCTCTCTGCGGTTAAAGGAGAAATGAATGACATGACGAGTTCCGAATCAGGAAACTGTGAGTGTCATAATTCTGTTTAGTTGGATGAAGTGATATCAGTCCCTCCCTTCACTTAGCTTAATATGGTGTAACATGTTGAGGCTTATAAGGCTATTAATGAATGTGATTTATCTTTTGATTAGTTCTTATTTTTCGTCTAGTTCTGTATATGAGGCCGATAGGTTTTGCGAGACTTTCCATAGAAGAGATGATGGCTGGAGATATTGTGAGTCATGTGGCAAGTTGAGTGGAAAAAGGTATCAATCATAATTTTACATATAGAAACTTAGCTATGCCTATGAATAGGGGTATCAAACGGGCGGGTCGGGTCAGATATGGACGGGTCGAAAGCGGGTAATGCAAAAAAACGGATAAATTATCCGACCCTATCCATATTTAATGCAGATAAAAAATGGGTTAACTGGCGGATAATATCCATTGCTTCTTGAATATGATCACTTTTGGGGGAATTCCAAGTCTCCCACACTTGAGGAACCCCTAATTTGAGGCTTGATAAATGTAAAATTTAAACCCATTAGTTATACACTTGGTTATCCATTTTCTAAGTGGATAATATGGTTCTTATCCATATTTGACCCGTTTTTAAAAAGTTCATTATCCAACTCATTTTTTAATGGATAATATGGATGGATAACTGTTTTTTTTTAACCATTTTGCCACCACTACCTATGAATAAAAAGTCTTTGTTCATATGTATATATACTTGTAAGCTTTGTGAGAAAAGTTTCTTATCAGTAATATTTTTATCTTCGCAGTTGGTCCATTGTGGATGTATTGTATCATTCAACGCATATCTGCTGTTGGATTTTGGTGGAATTATGTGCATGGAGTGCTCTAAGAAGAATTTCGTTCTTGTAAGAATTTTTAAGGCATTTGATTTTACCAGTTAACTCTCTTTTACTCCCACAATCATTTCTCAATATTTGTTGGAATGATTCAAACAAACTCTCTACCTTCACAAGGTAAGGGTAAGGTCTGCGTACACTCTATCCCCAGACCCTACTTTGTGGAATTACACTAAGTTTGTTGTTGTGGATTCTTTAAGAGTCAGCTTATGCTGCCTCCATCCTTTTGTACTATGTATAATAAGAGTCACTTTCTTTTGTCGACAAGTAGAATGTATTTAATCATTTCTTTGCTAAATCTTGTGAAAGTGCCTCGAGCAAAAGTAGGTCTGTGATTACCAGTCATAACTGACTTTTGGCTGATTGCTTTAGTAAGATACAATGACAACTATTATAGGCAATCTAGCTAAACAGAGCTGTTCATACCTCTTCCTGTTTTCAGTTAAATTGCGCTTAGACAGTTATAGACATAGTACTTTTATGCTACTTTGAACTATATCTGTCTCAATTGTGATACATATTTTCTCCCTTCTTTCTGAACTTCTAAATGTGTCAAAGCTCAACTCTTTTAGGTTAAAACTATCTAGGGATGCTTCAAGATGTTGTTCTTTTGTTTTTTTGCTATTCCTTTTTAGGATGAGGAAACTAATGTTATATATATATGTATATATTTTTTGCAGGCACGGAACCATTGCTTGTCTCATGAACGTCGAGTGCCACCTGGAGAATCTCTGCTGGTCCCAGCAAAACTTGGTATCGCCGGTTGCATCCCTCCCGCTAATGCAGCATGCATTTTTTGACTGAGATTAGTGATAGAATATCCTTTTGATCTATGATGACCATTAGTGAATTAGTTGATCATAGTACAGTCAAACCTTTCTATAACAACATCCCTATATAACACTTCTCCATAAAAGCCAAGCTTTTCGGAATCAATTTTTATATTATGTTATAATATATGTTCTCTATAACAGACTTCGCTATAACATCCAAAAATATTCAGAACAAACGAGGCTGTTATAGAGAAGTTTGACTGTAGTATAAGTAGTTTTCAAGCTAAAGGAGGTTAGTTGCATGTTCAAGTTCATTGGAGTACCATTTAAGTTTTAAGAAAACAATCTGAAGATGATATATTCCTACTTCCTTTTACTCGTGCATGGGACATTATCATCGTACCCTGACCAGTAGTTGTTTGGTTTTGTAGTTACTTTTTATCGAATTGAACCAGGAAAGAAATTGTTCATGGGATTAAGGAAAAGTTCTGCTGGTTCTACCACCTCATAGGTATGCAAGACATACTCTTCTGATTTTGTTTACTAACCAATTAAAATTCTGCATCTTTTTAAGATAATTTCTAGCTGATCAGAGCTTCTCTTTTCGCATGGTTCTATTATGATAGAATCGGCCTATATTTTGCCCTTTATTTCAAGAAAAGGGCCGACACTATGTGCTGAAATGGTATGTGTATATAAATAATCTTAATAATATAGTAATAATTACAATAATAGTAATAATAATAATATTAGAAGTTCTCAAAAAGCTATTCCCGGCTAGTAGATATCACATGTATGAATTTTTTTTCTTCAATTGTGTTATATTTAGCTAAGTTTGTATTGATTCCAATGATTGTAGGTCATTCAAGGCAACTTCTTTCCATGTGATTTTAGGTCTACCCCGACCCCGTTTAACACCTTCACTCACCATAGTTTCACACTTACAGACTGGTCGACGCAGGACATGACCAAACCATCTCAAGCGACTTTCTCTTAGTTTATCCTCAATGCATGGTGCCTGCAACTTCTGGAGAATGTGGTCATTTTTAATCTTATGAACAAGTCCATCTTAGCATTCGCATCTCTTCACACTAATCTTGTGGATATGTTAGACTTTAGCGGCCCAACATTCAGTATCATATAACGTTGCTGGTCTTATACATGTTCTATAGAACTTACGTTTCACTTTGGTAGGTATCCTTCTATCACATAACTCCTCGGTAACACTTCTCCATTTCAACTATCCTATTTTAATCCTATGAGTAACATCATCTATTTTTTGAGTATGATATCATTCCATTCCCTTGAAACAATAAGCCTAGATATCTAAATTGTTTGCATTTTGACACGACAATCCCGTTTCGTCTGACCTCAACTTTGCTCGTCTCATGCTGACTAAACTTGTCAAATTTCCCTTAGTCGACAGAAAAAAAAAGTCCGAACCTCAATACCAAAAAGGGACACATGAAATATCACGTTAAGTACCTAACAACTGGTTATCTTCAGGTAATAAATTATTACACTGGAGAATTATTTCACTTACAGTTTTACACCATTTTATTGCTGGCAATAATGTGTTATAAACAGGTTGTTTGCAACGACAATCTGATGATGATTTTGATACTTTGGTTAATGCCCTTTAACCGTGACCCTGCCCCCATCGCCCTGGATGCTGAAGTTATATGTGAACCCAACAATCTCGTCACATAATCTACAAATGAAAGATTATGTTGTTTTACAGGTTTCAGCTCGATGTCCTGGAACAGGACTGGCTACACTTCAATGCATTTGGCTATGTATCCAGGGAAGCTGTTGGTGTTATCTGTGCAAACTATCCAAACATTTTAGCAGATCAATGTCTAGTCAAACCGATGCCTGTTTGAATATGTAAAGGTTTCTCTGTTGTTTCCCACAAGTTTCTGCATGTAAAGAACAACAACAACAACAACATACCCAGTGTATTCCCACAAGTGGAGTTTGGGGAGGGTAATGTGTATGCAGACCTTACCCCTACTTTGTGGCGGTAGAAAGACCGTTTCTGATAGGCTCTCGGCTCAAGAAAAGCAGTTCTAAGCATGATTCTGCATGTAAAGAAGTCATAATTTTTTTGAACCTATATTCAAGTATGAAGAGCAGTAGATAGCCTTCAGAAAAGAGTCTCAAACTGTTTTAGTTCCTCCTCTTTGACCTAATATTAGTTTCATCTATTCCCCATTTTAAATCTGTTGCAGCAAAGGAGGGGCAGAAATGCATCCAAGTTTGGAGGGAGTCAAAGTGATCATGAGCATGTCGTAGACCCTCTCTGCTTTTTCGTCTTCCCGGGAATGAAGACTTTATAAAACAAATGATTTTTCTTTAATACTATTTTTTTTCATTTTTGTATATGGATGGATATATAATATTATCTAATTATTATTATTATTATTATTATTAATATTATTATTATTATTATTATTATTGTTGTTGTTGTTAGTTGTTATTATTAAGGAGTGAGTGGCCTATTTACGACTCATGTGCTCTCTAGCTTGCTACGGCTCAAACAAGTCGGGAGGTTTCAATTGGCTTGTAATGTCGGTTGTTTGCCTTTAGTTAAAAGTAGAGACACAAGGTGCTATATGCCCCACTCTTAAAGTAAAAAAGAATGGATGAAATCAAAAGAAATTACAGAAGGAGCGAGAAAGAAAATCTTAATTACAGGAATCAAAGGTTAGACCGATTACTTTAACAAAGTAACACCTAAAAAAAAATTATTAACAAAGTATCACCTAAAAATATTTATTTATTCCCGCTGCCCGTGGCGGAAGTACTTGCTTTGAATGCCATTACATATTTCACTCGCATAATGGTCTGTGCATATGGTTTGAGCACCTCTATTTAAATAGGTAAATTAAATGTTTTTTATGTGCTTACAACAGCCAGGACCACGTAAAATATCTCATGTAATACTTTTTGCACAAATAGAATTATCACTTGTTCTCCATTTCAAAAATTTTGCAAGATTTTCATTGTTAATTTTCACACAAGTTAATATATATACACATGAAGTTTGTTGTTTAATAAAAAATGACTAGAGAAGATTGGCGAGTAATGAAAATATTTAATGAGAGATTTTCCAAAGAAATAGTCAAAACACTTATGCCCTAGCTATTTGTAACGCACTTGCCAAGGTCTTACCTCATTTTTGGAGTCCTTTACTTAATTTCCTTTTTTTATTTTCACGCCCAAGAGGCGGAACCTGGATTTAAAATTTGTAGGTTTTGAAATTTATAAGTTTTGAAATTTGTCATGGAACCCATAACTTGTCTTAGTTACTGGGTTGACAATTAAATATTTATATGTTTTTAATAAATTCCCTACTACAAATACAATGTTTAAGCAAACGTGACTGAGTTACTCCGAACCGCACCTAATAGGCTAGCTTTGCTTCTGTAGTCAGAAGGGAAAGGACCAAAAGTCCATTCAATTTCAACATCTAATTATTCTACCTACAAATATTAATCAACTCATCCATAGAAAACTGAATATTGTTTCTTTACAATAGTCTATAATTTCCTAGTAACGCATAGATTTCCGATAGCTACTTTCATGTTAATAACTCTATTTGTATACTATGATCCAAAAACTAGTATAATTCCTCAAAAAAATTTCAGCGTTTCGAGAACATGCCTTGAGTCAAAGACGAGAAATCGCATTCTTTTGTTGATTGTGTAGAACTTGATGAAAGTGTGGTTGCTGCATCTCTGCTCGGTACAGAGGGGACTGTACCATTGCCCGAAGAATTCTGTCCCATTGGGTAAACACTGCAATATACAAGAGGAAATATAAAAATATCAGTCCAGATTTTTGACAGTGTTACACGATTGCAGGAGTTTAGTTAACTCGAGGATCACAGAGTTGATTCAGGAATGATTCGAGAAATCAACAGTAAACGAGTGCAGAGAAGAAGAAGGGAAGAAGAAGAGAGAAGAAGTAGAATAGGAATTGTATTATTATTCATGTTTGTAATTTGTGTACTACAATGTATTTATATCTATTACATTGAATGAAATTCAAGAGCTCTTCTAACAGATTCCTTCGGCCAACAGATTCTTTCAACTAACTGAAGTTAGTTATTGTAACAAACTCTAACTCTTGTAACAAGTCTAACTAACTCTAACTACTTTTTGAATTCCTAACTAACTTCCCTTTCTAATAATCGTGTATCAGACAGTGAGTATTTAAAAGGGAAATGGTTACAAGATGTTATAGTCAGAGATGGATTCAGGATTTTGGTTCTATGGGTTCAGGACTCGGGTTCGAACCACATAATCCATCACCTTGTTTGAGTTCTGGGTTCATAGTTCAATGTTTTCAACAATTCCAATATATTTTACACATAAATTCATGCCTAGGCTAAATGTTATGGGTTCAAATGAAGCCTAGATTTGCCCCTGGTTATAGTATAGACTCAACTATCAAAATTGGATGGCAAACCAATGTAGAACTAGCTATCAAAAGCAGATTGCACACCAGTATAGTTGTGGCTACAAAATCTTCAAGTTTCCAAAACCTTTTTTTTAATAAGACAAATAATTTTATTAATGATGAGAATATCTCAGGTTCCTAAAATCATTTTGAGCAATGTACAAATATTCAAATTTAGTAATCAAAGTTACTAGTTCGAAGTTCAACACATGTCTTGTCTCAGAAGCTGATAGATGATATCTAGAAAAAAAATCTCTCTCTTCGCGGTAAATCGTAATAAAACATGAGAGACAAATTGTCATAAATTTGTAGTGGATGCAGTGCTTTCTCAAGGAAGCTTTCATGTTATGGTTTGACTAAATTAGCTGCTATGATCTCTCAAAATTTTAAAATAAAGGGAAAAGATTACCATATATGACCATCTAATAGATCTACGGGATGCCCTGTTTCAGTTGATGATTAATTTTATTTGTTTGAGTCGGTTAACTCTTTTACTAAACTCCGTCTATGTAAGCTTGCTCACATTGCTGATAAAGGAGGAGAATTGCAGTAGGCTGCCAACTGGCGTAAAACTTGCCAAATTATGATGAATCCTCATAATATAGATGACATGGTCAGTGAGGACTCACATAGTCGACCCCTACTTGTTTAGGACTGAGGCATAGTTATTATTGTTTAACTTGTTTATTATGCTACAGTCCATTTTATGCGGACAAAAGGTGTAATCTGAAGTAAAAAACCTGAGGATAGGTTGTGTCTAATTAACAACTATTTTTTTCTTTTAAAATTAAAAAAATTAGACAGAACCTATCCTCAGGTTTTCCACTTCAGATTATGCCTTCAAGAAAAGAACTTGTTGCATCTAAATCTAGCTATTATGAGACCAATCTACAGTCCGCAAATGACATAGAACAAGAAGTAAGCACCTCGATGTTGAAAGTGGCACAGAGTTTCCAGCTAAATGTGTTGCTCCCCCAGTGCCCACCTAGTTTACAAGCAACGAAAAACAGTTTTAGCAGAGTTTATAGCAATATTCCAACAAAAAACTCAACATTCATGCATTTTTGACCTGCAAATATTTCTCCAGTTCAGTCTTTCCACTGGCTGGCATCGTCATTCCAGGGAACTGGTAGCTTACATTTGGCCAACTTTGATTCACTATATTGGAGCCATTTGGTCCTTGTTGAACATCCCCAGGGATTTTTAAAGCGCCACTAGCAGCGGCAGCAGCCATTAGAAGAGACTGTTGTTGAGCTAGCTGGGAAAGTTGTTGCTGATGCATAGCAAATGGTGACACCATATTGGACTGCAGAAAACTCAACATTATTTTTAAATAAAAGGAATTTGACTATATAGATTATGCCTCAATAACAGAGCAAGTTACGGTTAACTATATGAATCCTCACTGACCATGCAACCCCTATTAAGTTCATCTTAGGCCCATATTGTACAATAATGACGATGATAGAAATTTTATACATTTTCTCTTGACATATAAATCTCGACTAAAAGACTCCTAGAGAACATAATACCTAAAGTGAACATACTACCGTGATTAAAATTTAGTCCCAAGTAATAGGTATCGCCAATATAGAAACTTTTTTTTTCCATTATGCCTTATTTTTCGCTAGGCCTGCGTGGATTCCAAGAGATTGTAGGTTTTTTGAGACAATTTCCTTCCCATGTAATTTTAGGTCTAACTCATCCCCTTTTAACACCTTCACTCACCATGTTTTCGTAAGTACATACTGTTGCATCTGGAGGTCGAGGCAAGACATGACCAAACAAACCATTTCAAGTGACCTCTATTTTATCATCGACGTGTGCTACTTGCACCTTCTATAATAAGAAAGACCAAGAACAACTTAAAGCTCCAGTTCTGAATAGGGATAATACCTTGTCAAAAAGGCTCATGATATCATTTTTGACATCTTCTGGAAGCTTCTCGGTCAAGGAAGAAGTTGAAATTGATGATGACAATGATGGTGAATCCTTGAATAAATCTTCTACCGCAGAAGCAGATTGGGATTTCCGATGATCAGATTTTGCAACACCAGTTTTCGCTGCTGCTATTGCTTCTTGAGCAGCTGAGAAGTTTACAAGGTTCGATTAGAATAAAATGCGCTAAACAAATGACATAGCAACTGCAATACAGTGTTTTTGCTTTTCTCAAACTATCATTCACCCCTTCGGAGGAGCTCCCTACTTTGCCCCCTTGATGACTTGAACCCGCAACCTCAGGGTTCATTCACCCTCACTCAAAAGTAGATGTAGAGGGAACGGAAAATTATGGATCATACTAAAATAGAAAGAAATAGACAAAAGAATGCCCATGCTCTTTTTTTTTTCTTTCCAATTTGGTTATAATGCCGGTGTCCTAGCTAACTTGCACGTACCTCTACTATTCCAATTGCTACATGAATTATCCCATTTTCCTACCAAGGCTTAGGCTTATGGGAGAAGGTGGCCTAACTTTTTTGCCCCTATTGGGATTTGAACCCATGCTCTCCCTCAAGCTAAAGAGGAAAGAAAAAATAAAGTTCGTGTAACCTGTCCACCAAGATTTAGGTAGATCGGGGGGAGATCAACTAAGTTTTTTGTCTGTACTGGGATTGACCATGCTCTCCCCAAGGTAAAGAGGAAAGTAAAGATAAAGAAAAGACAGTTCTTACAAAAGTGTGACTTAACGTACATTGAAAACCTGTCCACGAGTTATCATCTACAGAAGCAGCTTCTGCTCCATTGTCATTTGGAGAATCCATAGAAAGCATGTCGAAAAGATCAGTAGCAATATCAACTTTAGGAGGATAGGCAACTTCTGCGACCTGCTTTGCAGATTCAATGACTGCAATTGGTTGTGTCTTCTGACTTGTCTGCTGAGGAACCACATCCGAAGATACTTTTTCATGAGTTGAAC